TCCAAAAATGATAACTTGAGATACAAGCTTCTTTTGAGAAAACTTTGTGAATAGAATTTGTAGACTTTGTGATGGACTACAACTTTCATGTTGCAAGTTTTGTTTGAATCCATTTGTATCTTGGTGAAACATTGGGACAAAGTTAGGAAAAAATAAGAAAATTTTATAACTTAGAAAAATTTTAAGTTATGAAAATTTTCCATTTTAAACCCTAATTTGAATTTTTGGGTTTCTTGATGAACAAGTTTCATAATTTGACATGTCTTGATGAAAAATGACCCTTGGCACTTGATTTTGACCAAAAAGTCAAAGTTTGACTTTTCAGTATACAGTCAAATTTTGATCAGTTGACTGAAGAATTCATCTGTCAATCCTATGCATTTGAGATCTTTTGAACTTGTTGAATGGGTCAAGACAATGTCATTGAGTCCTTGAGTCCATGGTTGAGCTTGATTTGTCATTGGCTAGGTCAAACAGTCAAAAATTGTCTTTGTACAGTCAAAACCCTAAAAATGACCATTTTGCCCTTTTGATGATCTGATCAAATTTCTTGTGGAATTGTGATCCAAACTTGATCAAATGGTTAATATGAGTTCATAATGTTGATGTGAATCAAATTTCATGAGGTTTGAATGTCAATTGGCCACAATTGACTTTTTCCCTAATACAACTGATTTCTAGGTCAACTGTCCAATTGATTGGGCAAAAATTTGAATCAAGGCTTGAAACTTTGTATGGACAAATTTGTGAGTCCAAAATGAAGTATGAAAGTCAATTTGGGCATTGTTGGTCAAAACATCACTGTGAAAACTCAAACCCTAATTTAGGTCAATAGTGCAAGGAGGTGTTTTGAGCAGAGCAAACCCTAGCTTGATCTTGACTTCCAAGATCCTTGTGATGAGAAATTTTAAGGAAATGAGAGGGAAAGTTTTGGGGTACAACAGTTGCCCTTGTTCAATCTTCTTGTACCTGAGGAGTTAGATTGACAAATTTTCCTTTCGTGACTCGAAGGTAAAAGAGAATTGGACACTAGAGTGCCCGTAAAGATTTCTTGTAATCCTGAAACCATGTTTCTTCTCTTCAAATATTTGATGTCTCTAAAGTTGAGATGGCCTAGTCGATAATGCCATATCAATTCATCTCTGCTAGATGCAGTCGAAAGGCACTTGTGCTCCATCACATTTAGTTCGATCTTGAAGGTTCGATTATGAGACATAGGAGCCTTCAAGATTAATCTTCCATTTGCATCGACGACTCTCATAATCTTATCTTTGATTGACACTTTATAATTCTTTTCGATCAACTGCCCTATACTGAGCAAATTGATCTTCATGCCTGGTATGTATAACACATTGGAAATTACTGACCTCTTACCATCTTTCCTCATAATCATAACATCACCAATACCTTCAGCTGCTAGGGTATTGTCATTTGCAAATTTTACCATATTTTTCATTGAGGGCTTTATATTTACAAACCAGTCTTTCCTTCCAGACATATGTGATGAGCATCCTGAATCCAAATACCATCGGTCCTTGAATCTATCTTCATCTCTTGTTGTGACCATCAGCATCATCTCTTCTTCTTCATGTTTTGCAAATTTTGCATCACTTTCTTGATTCTTTCGTTTTTCTGGACAATCACTCGAATAGTGACCATACTTCTGACAATTATAACATTGAATGTGACTCTTGTCAGGTTTTCGACTACCACCTCTTCCTCTATTTACAACACCACCTCTTTGGTTACCTTGGTGTGGTCTTCTTTGATTCGAAGAGTTTTCTTCGTTCTGGTTTTCTCTACCATTTGATTAGTTGTAGCCGCCTCTACTTCTATCGAAACATTTTCCTTTGCCTTTGGTTTTTTTGTGAATGTGCCTGCAAGGCCACATCACTCTTTGATCTGCCTGCAGCTCTTTCATTCATTCTTTGTTCATGAGATTCAAGCGTCCCTTAAAGCTCTTTCTTTGTCAATTTCGATAAGTTTTTCCCTTCTTCTATCGCCACCACTATGTGGTCGAACTTAGGAGCTAAAGATCTCAAGATCTTCGAAACAACAGCTCTTGTTGTTAATGTTTCTCCACATATCTTGATTTGATTCACTAGTTTTGTAACCCTAGTAAAAAAATCAGATATGCTCTCACTATCTTCCATCTGAAGCAATTCATACGTTCTCTTGTGAGTTTGTAACCTCACTTCTTTCACCTTTTCTGCACCACCAAAGGACTTCTCAAGAACATCCCAAGCTTCTTTTGCAGATTTTGAATCACTCACTTTTAAAAAAAAAAATTGGACTCACACATTGATGAATTATGAAGAGTGTTTTATAACTCAGCTTCTCAATTTGTGTGTGTTTCTTCTTTTATTCTTCTGAAGCGTTTTCTCCAAACGCTTCGAATCCATATTTTACAAGATCCCAAAGACCTTGACACCTGAATAAAACTTTCATCTGTTTGCACCAATAATTTACATTCCCATAATTCGCCATCGTGAATTCTTTTTCTTCCTCAATCGTTCTTGATCGATGCTTCCCTTGAATCAAAACCAGGCTCTGATATCAGATGTTAGAAATCCACCAAATAACTATGATGAATTTCTACTTCAATGACAATGAATTATGAGAAAAACAAGAAAAGAAAGAAAGACAATTATTTTCTGCAGAGTTTCTCTCTGCCCACAAACTGTGAAAAGCTTTGTTATTCACTTGCAACTGCAAATTTTGTGAATGACTTAATTGACTTGATTACAAAATAGGGGTTACTCCCTAGGGATGTCAGTTTGGACCTGTTAATGGGGATCCCCGCGGGGAACGCCCCGTTCGGGGCCCCAAAGATGGGGAATTTTCCCCCGTGGGGGCGGGGATGGGGAGAAAAATTCCCCCGAGAGCATTTCGGGGACGGGGACGGGGAATACACCCCCCGCCCCGCGGGGACCCCGCCCCGCCTATTATTTTAATATAGTTAATTTAATATATATTTTTTAGATTAGGTTTTTTAGTCATTTCCTTTATGTTTATTTATAAAAAAAATATTATTATTTTGTGTTCCATTAGTATTTTTAATAAAAAATAATAAATGTCAAATACTAGTATTTTTTAATAACATAATAAATATGTGAATTCTTTGTGTTTTTTATTTTTATAGAAAATATAAACATTTTAAAAAAATAAAATATTAATGAATAAATGTAGGATCTATGGGGATCCCCGCGGGGAACGGGGATCCGCGGGGAACGGGGATCCGCGGGGAACGGGGATGGGGATAGAAATTCCCCCGTGACGGAGATCGGGGACGGGGAATGAATTTGATGGCGGGGGAAAAGATGGGGAAGTGTCCCCCCGGCCCCGCCCCGCCCCATTGACATCCCTACTCCCTCTATTTATAGATTTAGCTTGCACCCTAAACCCAAAACTATAAAAGCCCAAAATACCTATTTTAGTACTAAATCAAATCTATTTTGTTTTAAATCTAAATCAAATCTTATTTAAATCTAAAACAAATCTAATCTCTTTCGACACAATCAAATATTATATGCTTGGATCATTAGTTGTGGTATGAACTTTTGCACTAAGTTAGACTTAATACAGGTGTTATCAGTGCTACCTAATTGTTAGTCGAGTCGAGTCCTCCTCTAAATAAGTCGGCCCATGCTTCAATCTAGCAATGTTGGTTTTAACATGTCTTAGCTTGACCATTGAGTGATTGATCCTCCATGTGCAGGACCTCATCTAGAGAATGTTGAGCTTTACTTTCTTCCTCTCCAAACAAGTTGTTATAACATGCATTGTTTATAAGTCCTTGACTTATGTCTAGTTTATCTGAAGCCTTAACAACGGATAGGTGAAGATTGTCAAAGACTTCCATGTTCCATTTTTTGAAGAGTGGTTTTAGAGCCCTCAGCTAAGCTAATACAAACATTGAATAACCAACAATTGCCTTTTTCCATTACTCAATAAGGATAATCATGATATTATTATCACATGTTAACTGTAAAGGATAATGATTAGAGTGATTTTTTTTTTTTGTTAAAATTGTACATTTGATGCCCTGCCAAGATTCCAACTATAACTGGCTACAAACACTTCTATCAAGTCTGTCTGTTACATAATCTTTACCTTTTCTACTATTATTCCAAATATAAAAGCTACCATTAGTATATAGGTGAATGAGTTTGTTATTATTAATCTATAAGTTTTGTTAGGAGGGCATATCCATACTTTTCATGTGCGCCAAGTAATGCATAAAATCATGAATGAAACTCCAAGGGTCTGGATTAGTCTACTGAAATGCGCTAAGTTTGTTCCATAATTGTCTTCTAACCTGCTAGCCATGTGTGGCGTGCTTGCATTAATGGCTTCCATTTAGTGTTTCCTTTCTGCAACGGCTAAAATCTACCATGTTTTCTGCATGTCTCAGTTGAAGGAATTTCATGGTTCTACTTATATTCCTTTTACTCCTCTCGCCTCTCATGAATTCAGTCTAAGTCCTCAATTCCAAAATAATTCACAATGGTTTAGTGGTTGTTCCATAAGTTCTCATCCATTGGAGTGGAATGGATCGGAACTATCCAAAATCTGCCTTAGAAAAACACCCAAAATAGAAAACTCCATTATAATACAAATAAATTATTATATGTTAAATAATTGCTAATAAACACCCAAGAAGGCATGGAAAAATAATCTGACTTAGACCAGAATGCCAGCCAGCTTAAAGAGCTACATATAACAAAAAAAGTGTAAAATTAAAAGCATCAAAGACGCCCAAGAACTGTGAAAATTTGATAGTGGGAAAAAGACCTCACTACAATTATTCAATTCAAATTGAAGAGAAGAACAGAACTAACTCTGCTCCTGATAAAGGAAAAATCAAATTATACACACACTCTCGTTCATGTTTGTAAAACAAAAGAATCAATTCACAGAAAAAAATGAGCTGATTATATGTCAAATCAGGATAATACCTAACTGGACAAAGTTGCTTAACGAAAAATATATAGAAGAATCTACACTGCTGCTCTCTGGACCCTGCGAGTTTTTGATAGGATTTCCTTGAGATAGTCATTACGCTCCCTGTGATAATCAATCCACAAACAGAGCTGCCTAATGGCATCCCTCTTTTCCTCTCCCAAACCTTCCTCTTTCTCTTTGATCAACTTCTCTAGCTCTTCAACTGTCTTCTTAAGTTCAACAACAGTTGCCTTCACATTGATATTCTCTGATTCCTGCTTTCTTGTCTTTGCTTCTAGCTTCTCAACCTTCTCCTTCAGAATTAATTCCTCTTCCTTTTTATCCTTCAACTCCTCCAACAGAGTTAACTCCTCTTCCTTTTTACCCTTCAACTCCTCCAACAAACGGTTTTTATCTTTCTCTAACTTTCCCTTGATCCTATTGATCTCGCAAACATATTCTTTTGCAACCTGAAGCTCGTGTGAGATGTTTGAGATGCTGTTCTCGTGAGTTTTGCATTCGTCCGAAAATTTTCTGCTCACTGTATCTATTCCAGATATCATACTATTGACAGACTTTTTGATAGTTGTGATAGTTTCATGAAAAGCTTCACTGTTAGCTGTGATTGTTGCTACGAATGTAGCAATCCTATCTTCAAGTGCACTCTGTTTTTGCTTAAACTTTTCTTCGTTTTCATTTTGCAATTGTTCTGTGACCCGGAGCTTTTGGTTTGACATGCGAAGCTTTACCTCGAGATTCCTCACATTTTCAAGCAAAGTGCTGATCTCATCTCCTTTGTCTTCCAGGTCTCTTTTCAGGCCTTCAACTTGGTGTTCCAAATCACCTACTATATGATCTTTTGACCCAATGCCTTCACGAAACTCTTCTGCCATTTCTTCCATCTTCCTCTCTGCAACCTCAAGTTTGACCTTGCATTCATTAAACCAACTTTCAACTTTTTTATATTCCTCATTCAACTTCTGATATGCATCTTCACGTTCTACCAATGTTCTCTGAAGATCCATATTTTGGTTGCCTAATTCGGTCTTTTCATTGTCAACCACTGAGAGGGTTTCAACATGTTCTTCTTTTACTTTTTTGCAGGAGAGCTCCAATTCTTCTTTTGTTTTCTGCGAGGAAAGCAAGTCCTTTTCCAGTTCATTTTTCTCAGCATGTAATGAGCTTATATCAGCCAGCAAATTGTTTATTTGAGATGTCAGATCTGATATTTTGGAAGATGATTCATCCTCATTATCTTTGAGTTTCTTCACAAGAGAAGATAGTTCCTCTTCTCTTTCTTTGGACCTTATTTCAAGTTCCGAGTATTGGTTTCGCAACCCTAAATGGTGCTCTCCCAGCTCCCTTGCTTCTGTGGTTAAGTTTTCTCTGTGTTCCGTAAGTTTCTCTTGTTCCAGGGTTTTTCTGTCTACCTCTTCTTTCAGACTTTGAACTTGAATCAAGAACTCGGAATTTTCTTGGCTTTTTTCCACAAGCTGAACTTCCAAGTCAGATTTCTGGTGTTGTAGAGACTCCACTTCCTGCTGCAGTACAGTCATCTCATTTGTAATGCTTTCAATTTGAGCTGAAGCTTCATTACTTTTAAAAATTATTTGATTTTCCAGTTCGTTTTTCTGAGCATGTAATGAGCTTATATCAGCCTGCAAATTGTTTAGCTGAGATGTCAAATCTGATATTTTGGAAGATGATTCATCCTCATTATCTTTGAGTTTCTTCATGATAGCAGATAGTTCCTCTTCTCTTTCTTTGGACTTCATTTCAAGTTCCAAAATTTGGTTTTGCAACCCTAAATTGTGCTCTCCCAATTCCCTTGCTTTTGTAGTTAAATTTTCTCCATCTTCCTTTAGTCTCTCTTGTTCCAGTGTTTTTCTGTCAATATCCTCTTTCAGAATTTGAACTTGAATCGTACACTCAGAATTTTCTTGGCTTTTTTCCTCGAGCTGAACTTCCAAGTCAGATTTCTGGTGTTGTAGAGACTCCACTTCCTGCTGCAATACATTCATCTCATTTGTAATGCTTTCGATTCGAGTTGACGCTTCATTACTTCTGAAAATCATTTGCTCTTCCAGTTCATTTTTCTGAGCGTGTAATGAGCTTATATCAGCCTGCAAATTGTTTATCTGAGATGTCAAATCTGATATTTTGGAAGATGATTCATCCTCATTATCTTTGAGTTTCTTCATGATAGCAAATAGTTCCTCTTCTCTTGCTTTGGACCTTATTTCAAGTTCCGAATATTGGTTTTGCAACCCTAAATGGTGCTCTCCCAGTTCCCGTGCTTCTGTGGTTAAATTTTCTCTGTGTTCCATAAGTCTCTCTTGCTCCAGGGTTTTGCTGTCAACCTCCTCTTTCAGACTTTGAACTTGAATCATATACTCAGAATTTTCTCGACTTTTTTCCACAAGCTGAGCTTCTAAGTCAGATTTCTGGTGTTGTAGAGACTCCACTTCCTGCTGCAGTGCATTCATCTCATTTGTAATGCTTTCAATTCGAGTTGAAGCTTCGTTACTTTTAAGAATTATTTGCTCTTCCTGTTCATTTTTCTGAGCATGTAATGAGCCTATATCAGCCTGCAAATTGTTTATCTGAGATGTCAAATCTGATATTTTTGAAGATGATTCATCCTCATTATCTTTGAGTTTCTTCAAGATAGCAGATAGTTCCTCTTCTCTTTCTTTGGACTTCATTTCAAGTTCCGAAATTTGGCTTTGCAACCCTAAATTGTGTTCTCCCAGTTCCCTTGCTTCTGTGGTAAAGCTCTTAAGTTGCTCCTCTATATCTCTTTTTTGGTTTCGCAGTAACTCTAGTTCCAGCCCCAGATTTGAGATTTGTGCTTCTAATTCCTTGATCTGATTTGAGGACTCATTCTGATGCCCTTCATGCATTTGAGTGAGGGATGAAACTTCTCTTTCTCTCTCATCAAGTATCTCCTTTAACTGACTTGATTCAGCTTGATATTGATCCTCTATATCTCTTTTTTGGTTTCGCAGTGACTCTAGTTCCAGCCCCAGATTTGAGATTTGTGCTTCTAATTCTTTGATTTGATTTGAGGACTCATTCTGATGCCCTTCATGCATTTGAGTGAGGGTTGAAACTTCTCTTTCTCTCTCATCAAGTTTCTCCTTTAACTGACTTGATTCAGCTTGATATTGATCCTCTATATCTTTTTTTTGGTTTCGTAGTGACTCTAGTTCCAGCCCCAGATTTGAGATTTGTGCTTCTAATTCTTTGATTTGATTTGAGGACTCATTCTGATGCCCTTCATGCATTTGAGTGAGGGTTGAAACTTCTCTTTCTCTCTCATCAAGTTTCTCCTTTAACTGACTTGATTCAGCTTGATATTGATCCTCTATATCTCTTTTCTGGTTTTGCAGTGACTCTAGTTCCAGCCCCAGATTTGAGATTTGTGCTTCTAATTCTTTGATTTGATTTGAGGACTCATTCTGATGCCCTTCATGCATTTGAGTGAGGGTTGAAACTTCTCTTTCTCTCTCATCAAGTTTCTCCTTTAACTGACTTGATTCAGCTTGATATTGATCCTCTATATCTCTTTTCTGGTTTTGCAGTGACTCTAGTTCCAGCCCCAGATTTGAGATTTGTGCTTGATATTGATCCTCTATATCTCTTTTCTGGTTTTGCAGTGACTCTAGTTCCAGCCCCAGATTTGAGATTTGTGCTTCTAATTCTTTGATTTGATTTGAGGACTCATTCTGATGCCCTTCATGCATTTGAGTGAGGGTTGAAACTTCTCTTTCTCTCTCATCAAGTTTCTCCTTTAACTGACTTGATTCAGCTTGATATTGATCCTCCATATCTCTTTTCTGGTTTTGCAGTGACTCTAGTTCCAGACCCAGATTTGAGATTTGTGCTTCTAATTCTTTGATTTGATTTGAGGACTCATTCTGATGCCCTTCATGCATTTGAGTGAGGGTGGAAACTTCTCTTTCTCTTTCATCAAGTTTCTCTTTTAACTGACTTGATTCAGCTAGATATTGATCCTCTATATCCCTTTTCTGGTTTTGCAGTGACTCTAGTTCCAGACCCAGATTTGAGATTTGTGCTTCTAATTCTTTGATTTGATTTGAGGACTCATTCTGATGCCCTTCATGCATTTGAGTGAGGGTAGAAACTTCTCTTTCTCTTTCATCAAGTTTCTCTTTTAACTGACTTGATTCAGCTAGATATTGATCCTCTATATCCCTTTTCTGGTTTTGCAGTGACTCTAGTTCCACACCCAGATTTGAGATTTGTGCTTCTAATTCTTTGATTTGATTTGAGGACTCATTCTGATGCCCTTCATGCATTTGAGTGAGGGTAGAAACTTCTCTTTCTCTTTCATCAAGTTTCTCTTTTAACTGACTTGATTCAGCTAGATATTGATCCTCTATATCCCTTTTCTGGTTTCGCAGTGACTCTAGTTCCAGCCCCAGATTTGAGATTTGTGCTTCTAGTTCCTTGATTTGATTTGAGGACTCATTCTGATGCCCTTCATGCATTTGAGTGAGGGTAGAAACTTCTCTTTCTCTTTCATCAAGTTTCTCCTTTAACTGGCTTGATTCAGCTAGAAATTCTTGTATTCTGCTTTGAGACAGCTGAACCTCATTTGAAGCCTGGGAAAGTTCAGCTTTCAATGATCCATTTTCTTCTTTTGCGACCTCCAGATTGTTGCTAAGAGCTGTTATTTGCTGTTCTGAGTGTTTCAATTCCTGCTTCAGAGTAGAAAGTTCATCTGTTACTGTTTGTAATTCTTTCGCAGCCACTAACTTATCTTCTTTCAGCTGATCAATGAGGTTTCTCAGGTCATCTGTAATCTTCTTTTCCTCGTCAATCAGTTGGAGAGCTGTCTCTTTCTCCTTGGCTAAGCTATTGTTTTCTGTCTTCATATCCTCCAATCTTTGACTCAGTTCAGCTTCTACTTTTCCAGCAATATCCAATTTCTTATTTAGTTCAGTATTCTCAGCCAAGAGTTTTGTTCTTTGAATCTCTAATGCATCAGCATCAGTTTTCAAATCTAAATTAATTTTGTTTGCTTCTTGTATCTTGTTAAGTGCTGCTACGTGTTTTGAATTTATTTCCTCCTTCTCTTCATTTGTAATTGCCAACTTCTGATTTAATTCAGCAACTTCCTTGTGCACCTCTTCGAGTTCTTGCTTCAATCCATCATTTATCTTTTGAAATTCATTTTGCAGTTGTCCATTTTTGCTGTCTCTGTCCTTCGAAGAATAATCCGAATCCGAGCCAGAGCTAGATGAAGAACTAGATGACAAACTTCCTTTTTCTCTCTTGCCCTTGATTTTTTTCTTTAACTCGCCTGTCAGATGATCATACTTTGTATAGAGCGTTTGGTATTGACCGTGGAAATCCTCAATCAATTCAGCAAGTTGTCCCCTCTTCAAAATTTCTGCTGGGGTACCATCCTCTTCACCGTTGTCCTCTTTAATAAGTTTCAATACCTTTTTCACTTTGTCATCAAATTCTGTAGGAAAAGTAGAAAAAGTCCAAATCATTTGTTTGATCACCATAAAAAGTGATACACATAAATCATAGCATATTTTGCATTGTGATCTTCCGTAATATCACATTTCAGCTGTCATGGGGCAGAGAGTAAGTGTTGATAGATATCATACCTGTTTTATCTCCTCGGAGCTGCTCTTCTTTATCAGGATCAACATGACTTCCAAACAGCGATTTTATAGATTCTCTCAAGCGATGTTTCACCATTTTCTCCACTGATATCTAATTTCTTAGCAATATCAAGTCAAATATAAGCTATTCACCATGTAGTTCCAGGAAGTGAAGAGCTGAAAAATTAACACAATTATTTGTTAATGTAAAACAGCTGAAAATGTAAAAGGAATTATTGTAAGAAATATATGGTCTATAATCGTATCTTTAATAGTTTTGACATAAGATGATATACATGGTCAGTCTTTCGGCCCCAACTCTCTACCAAAAAGGATATTTAGTTAATGTAGATTCTATGTCACTACAAAACGGTGTAATACTATGATATCAAAACATATTGCAGGAAATCTATCGCAATCAAAACATATTGCAGGAAATCTATCGCAGACAATTGCTGCAGGGAAAAAAAATTGAAAACTAAGAAAGAACGTATAATTATTAATGGTTCATTCGAACAAGCCACTACAAAATTAAAAGGGTCAAAGAAAAGGTGAATAAGTGTAATTGTTTGGCTCAATTCAGTATCAAAAAGATAGTACTAGATGCAGTTGCCATCATTACTGTTACTAAACCAAAATGTGATTCACTAAGCTACGGGAGACTGGTCCCAAACTTCTAAAAGCTTTTAATTAAAGCACCACTGGTCCAACAAGATTTTATTTTTGAGAACAGATTAATAAAAATGAGATTAGATTACCAATTTTAAATTTTAAAACAAATAAAAACAAAAAGAAGAAAAAGAAAAGGAAACACTGATTAAAAACAACTCAGCTACACTCTGGCTCCACTACACAACTTCAGGAATCTTCCAAGAATTAATTTTTTTATTAATCAAAAAACAACAAATCTGCAATAATAATACAACTGCTCCAAAAAGAAAAAAAATGGAGAAAACATACTTATATAGTTATCAAAGTTTAAACAATACATTCACGTAAAAGCTTTCACGATTTCGATCGGTACGGATGTTGTGACAGTGATTGTGGTCGTCGCAGTGTAAATTAATGATGATTTATTCTTTAACATAAAAACAGTATCAAGTGCCGATACCGTTCTATCGCGGCCGTTTTCACGGTATCACCTTTTTTAAAACCTCGATAGGTATATACATAATGCCTAAAATTGATTCTCAATATTCTTATAATTGTCACTATTTTGATAAAATTTGGAAAGTACCTTAAAAATATACTTTCAGTTTTCCTTCTATCTTCTCTTCTGAATCTGTTAAAGAGAAGGAAAAAAAAATTATAAAAGAAAAGCAAAAACAAATAGAAATTCTAAAATATATGCTATTGATTTTGAATAGCTGCTATATAGTTTTCTTTCCAATCAATTTATTACTTGTTTTTTTTTCTCAAAAATTTCAAAGTAAACTGAAAAAAACATAATCATCAAAGATCATCTTCATCTTCAACAAGATTAATAGCACAAAAAATGATTCAGATTAAGGATCAAGAATTCAAGATACAAAGTGAACTAACTTCAAATCAAAAACATCAAAAACACATGCAAAAGCGGAGAATTCAAAGAAACTCCAATAACTAACTAAGAATCCAAGTAGAAACAAAAGAGAATTAAATTGAAGCTTACATGAATTCAGTTTCAGCAGAATATACTGATCTGAACGAATCCAGAAGGTGAAACCAAAGAGCTTCTTCAAAAGCTTCAACTGCAACAAAAGGACAATTTGAAACGGAACTGAAAATTTTGAAGAAAATAATAACGGAATTCACAGTTGTTGTTACCTGAGAGAGTTGAGAAGAAGATGGTGAAGGATTGAAAGAGTGTTAATGCAAGAGAGATTTAAGTTTAGAGAAAATAATTTGATTTTGTTTTAAATGATAATATGAAAATGAAAAGTGGTTTTGTTTGGATTAGAGAGCTCTAAAGATGTGCCAGCATTTTTCACCTTCAAATTTCGTAAATGGAATCTTTGGATTGATACGGGGATGTTTGACCCTTTTTTCTCTATTTATTACAATAGTGCCATTGCATGATTTTCGGGGTTTTCTTGCGCGGGGACATGTTGCCGACTTGTCATCATGGTTTTTTTTGAAAAAGAAAAAAAAATTAATTTTAGGATTAAATAAATTTTTTATCTTTTTAATACTTTAAATTTTATTTTTAGTCTATTTAAAAAAAATTTTAAAAAATAATTATTTTAAAAAATTAAATTTTAATCTTTATCCCTCCTAATAAAATTGTAGGTAAAATATTCTTTAATTTCGTCGTTAAATAAAAACTGTCGTTAAAATTATTATTAAAATTATCGTTAAAATCATCGTTAAATTATAAAAATTATCGTTAAATTATAAAAATAATTAAAATTTAAAATTTAATTTTTTAGAAAGATTATTCTTTAAAAAAAAATTAGAAAAATTAAAAATGAAATTTAAAATATTTAAATTGATAAAAATTTATTTAATCCTGAATTTTATTAGAAATCATTCTAATAGCATAAGCATGCATTAGAAAGAGGTTACACCAATACAATCCAAACTAAATATACAATATACCAGAATGGTTGGATAATGCTTTCTTCACATCCTTCTCCATATTCAACCCACATATCCATACAAGCCGACTTGTCATCATGGTTATTTTGAAATTTCTACTCACTTATCGAAGCGATTGGAAATGTAAACTTAATTTATATTTAAATCTAATTAGTTCGATCTATTAATTATTTTTTAAAAATTATACTATTTTTTAATCAAATTTAAATAATTTTATGAAAAAAATGAAATATACACAAATAATGAATGTCAACTAATGACCAGAATATATCTGACTAAATCATACATTAATATTTAAACTAATTGTATAATATAGTTGAATAATGAATTTTTATTAAATAAAAATATAAAATTATTTTATATTGTTTGTGAATACCTATCAAACTATTATTTCATTTTGACCAAAAAAATTTAAATTATTTTATTGTAATTTTTTAGACTATTTTTTATTAATGGAAAATTTATACTATTTAGATTTAAATTTTTTTTAATAAAACAATTACAATCAAATTTTAAACTATTTATTTTTAAAAATATAGAAAATACTAGTAACATGTCATAAGGCGCAAGTAAATTAAAAGAAATAAAAAAATTATGTTGAAAATCATATTTAAAAAAAATTAATTTAAACTTAATCAATTTAAATAAAAATTTATATTATTTTTTTAAAGCTTTGCTTGGGAGTTTGAAAGGTAAGTGAAAGGAGTACTTCAAAAAATGGCTAAGTTGGGTTTGTGGGTGATTCATGGTAGAGACTGTTTTGGCGATTCTTACGTGAATCACGAGGATGTTGTTCCTCGAAATATCTTTAAGAATCAGGAGTTTTTTCATTCACCTTTTTAGAGGTTTTTGGCGAAAGTTCCGTTATATCTCTAGAATTCGAATATTCATATTCGAACGAATCAAATTTTAATTTTTTAGGGTTCGTTCGGATATATATTTTAAATAATCCAATAATTCAATATTGAGTTATTTTGGATATGCATATCCGAAAATATCTAAAGACGAAATATTGAATTATTTTGGATATACATATCCGAAATAACCTCATTTATTTTTATGAGATATATATCTATTTAATATAGACGATCTCTATAATTTATAAATTACTCATCATTTATTTTACTAGAATCTATTCTATTAAATGTTCTATTTTAATAACATTAATTATTAATAACATTCAACTTTAGATTATAATATAAATATATTTTAAATATAATAAATTTTGTAATTGCAACAATTAATTATCAATTCTATAATAAAAATTAAAAAAAGTTTAATTAGAAATGTCAGTTTAATTTTTCCAAATAAAAGTGTCATTTAAATTAAATTTTATTTTTAAAGTCACAATTAAAAAAACATTTCTTATATTTTTTATCCTAAATTATTCATGATTTTAAATAAAAAACTTAAAAGATAATTACATTTCACTATTGTAATTAGAAATTTAATTATTGTATTCATGTTTAATTTCATATCATAAATTTATTTTAACATTTAATTTTCAATTATAAATTTAAGTAATTCTTTACTAATAATAACTCAATTTAATTATATTATAACTATATTATAAATAAATATCTTTTCAAAATAAAATCAAAAGAAATTTGAGATATTGAATTATTTTAGATATGCATATCCGAATGGTATTTCGGAGTTTTCAGAGGTTTCTTTCACCCATATAAGAGTGTACTAAGTGTTAGTGCACAAGGTGAAGAAATACATAAGGAATTGTAAGTACGAAGTGCGCCAGAGAGGGGGGGGGGGGGGGGGGGAATTGTAAGTAAGTGAGTGCAATCGATTGCACTAGCAATGTAAATCAATTGCACTGAGAAACAGAAGCAAACGTTTTGAAAATTTTAAGTATGCAATCGATTGCACAAGCAATGTAAATCGATTGCACAGAGAAACAGAAGCAAAAGATCTGAAAGTTTGAAGTGTGCAATCGATTGCACTAGAAAGTAAATCGATTGCATGCAAGAGAAAGTGAAATTTTAACTTTGAAAAACTTGAGTAATGATTTTTTAAACATTTCTTTTTCATTTTTGAGCATCTATATCTTAAGATCAAAGTAGATAATATTATTATACCTTTAAAGTTGTTGAGAGCTTTGAATGAAGATATTATCCTTAGATGCTTTGAGCTTGATCATAAATCTTTGCCTTCTTTGTTAGCCATGGTTTGTCTTCATCAAAACAAAAGCTCATTTGTGAAGCTTAATTTTACATTCTCCCCCTTTTTGATGATGACAAACAATCTTGCTTTATGTGATGTACTTTCTGGAAGAGTTTCTCCCCCTAAGATGCAAAACTCCCCCTATGTAGGAGAGGGTTGGAATCCTATGCGTTTCTTCATCTTGATTGGAGAGTACCTTAAAAAAATAAGACACAGAAAATACAAGCATAAAGTATCACACATCTTTCTCCCCCTTTGGCATTACCAAAAAGAAGGGAAAGATGCATAAAACAAATAATAATAGAGCAATATATTGAGAAATTTTTTAGAATTAAAACAGTAACACAAATTGTTTAAGGATTATACCGAAATTTAAACAAACAAAACATTGAATAGCAAGACAAGAACATAACAGAAAAACAGTTAGCCAGAACATTAAGGGTGATGCATGTCTGGATGGTTATAAGACCATGAGCCTTGATTCGGGAATTGTTGTTGAAGTGGGGGTTATGTGTAGTGTTTAGGAGGTGCAAATGGATTATTTGGATCGTATGGTGGAATATGTGATTTTAAATAAAGTATATTTGGATTGAGAATATGAGAGAGGAATTTTGACCAACATAATTTTTCTGTCATAAAAGCAAGTTGCAGTACGTGCAATCGATTGGCATACCAGGTGCAATCGATTTGCATACAAACAAAATCAAAATAAAACATAAACGCACAGAGTGCAATCGATTGGCATTGAAGGTGCAATCGATTTGCACACACACATAATGGATAGAATTGAAAATACTCAGTAAGCAATCGATTGACACTCTTTGTAAAATCGATTTGCATCAACAAAAAATGTCCAGAACCAAATTTTTCTTAAAAAATTAAATACCATATAGCATAGATTATCATATAGCATGTATAAAACATATATAAGAGTTATATCAAGGGTAGAATTCACCTTATAAGTCGCGTTCGTCAAGTATGCTGAGCTCTCGACGAATTTTGTAGAAAGGTTCTTTTGCCAAAGGTTTGGTGAAGATATAGGCAAGCTGATTATGAGTATCTACAAAGGTAACCTCGACATCTCCTTGAAGAACATGATCACGGAGGAAATGGTGTTGAATTTCTATGTGTTTAGTTCTTGAATGCATGACGGGATTCTTTGTAATGCTAATTTCATTGGTGTTGTCGCATCTTAGAGGAATGCACCCTAGATCGAGTCCGTAGTCATGAAGTTGTTGTTTTAGCCACAAAATTTGAGCGCAACTACTTCCCTCTGCTATATATTCAACTTCGACCGTGCTTAGAGCAACACATGCTTGTTTCTTGCAGGCCCATGATACTAATGCATTACTAAGAATGTGACAAGTACCACTTGTGCTCTTTCTATCCGTTTTACAACCTGCATAATCCGCATCAGAATAACCAATTAAGTTGCAGACACTACCTTTAGGATACCATAATCCGACATTTGTTGTCCCTTTGAGATACTTCATGATCCTCTTTACCGCTGTGAGATGATATTCCTTTGGGTTAGCTTGAAAGCGGGCACAGATACAAACACTAAACATTATGCCAGGACGGCTTGCCGTCAAATACAATAAGGAGCCAATCATACCTCGATATTTAATGATGTCGATGGAAACACCTAATTCATCTTGATCAACATAAGAACCAGAACCCATTGGTGTAGACATTGCCTTACAGTTATCCATGTCAAACCTTTTCAAGAGTTCCTTGCAATATTTGGATTGGTTGATGAAGATTCCATCTTTTAGTTGTTTGATTTGAAGTCCAAGAAAATAGTTCATTTTACCCATCATGGACATTTCAAATTCTCCTTGCATCATTGATGAGAATTCTTCACACATTTCTTGATTTGAAGAACCGAAGATGATGTCATTAACATAGACTTGTGCTAGCAAAGTGTCGTCTTTGATTTTCTTGATAAATAGAGTCTTGTCAACTTTGCCTTTTTCGAAACCTTTTTCGCATAAGAAGTTGCTTAAACGATCATACCATGCCCTTGGTGCTTGTTTCAGTCCATAGAGCGATTTTCTCAATTTAAATACATGAGATGGATTCTTGAAGTCTTCAAACCCCGGGGGTTGCTTAATGTAGACTTCTTTAGTGATATATCCATTCAAGAATACGCTTTTGACATCCATTTGGAAAAGATGAAAATTTAATGAACAAGCATAGGCAAGTAAGAGACGAATAGCTTCTAACCTAGCAACTGGAGAGAAAGTTTCTTCAAAGTCTATTCCTTCTTCTTGATTATAGCCTTGTGCTACCAATCTTGCTTTGTTGCGAACAATTATTCCATTCTCGTCAAGTTTGTTTTTGAAGACCCATCTTGTTCCAATAATGTGTTTGTTTCTTGGCCTAGGGACTAGTTCCCAAACTTGATTCCTTTCAAATTGATTCAATTCTTCTTGCATAGCTATAATCCATTGGTCATCGCCTAAGGCTTCATCAACTTTGGAAGGTTCAATTTGAGAGACAAATGCCATGTTTAGGCAAGCATCCTTGAGATTTAATCTTGTAGACACACCTTGACTTATATCACCAATTACTTTATCAATAGGATGATCTCTATGAGTTCTCCATTCTTTTGGTAGATCATTGAGATTCGATTCTTGTTGAGGTGATTCTTCGAGTTGAATGGGTTGATCCTTGGAAGAATTTTCTTGAGGACCTTCTAAAATTTCATCATCATTATCACAAACAATATTATCCTCTTTGGAGGGGTTAGTTTCATCAAAAGAAACATGCATAGATTCTTCAATAGTCAAAGTTCTTTTGTTGTAAATTCTATATACTTTACTAGAGAGTGAGTAACCAAGAAAAATACCTTCATCGGATTTCTCATCAAACTTACCCAGATTATCCTTGTCATTGTTTAAG